TATTTCATTTATCGGGACAGCGGGACGTCCCGATCTTATCCCGATCCCGTCCCGACTCTTAACGGGACGGGACGACTTTCGGGACGGGACGGACACGGGACCAAAATTCAGTCCCGATCTTTTTTTCGGGACAGGACACGGGACGGGGGTGTCCCGTCCCGTCCCGTGAACACCCCTAATGCCACAAGTAGCAGGAATACCACGAATAATTGTTAATTAATATCGAATATCGAATATTGAATATTGATTTTTTTTTGTGGGTAAAAGATTGGAAGGTTGACTAAGTAATGATGAAGGAAAATAATTTGATGTAAAAGAGGTTTTTTTTTTGACCAAGATGTAAAAGAGGTTAATCATCAAGAACATTCACATATGAAATGAAATTTCTACACAAAATTGGATGTGCATACTTTAAGAATGTGTAAACGACGCGTGCTTTGATGTAAGCATATGAATATGATAGGGATGTAAAAATTAGTGATATTTAGGTTGCGTTTATATGGATGGATTTAAGTTAAGAGTTTGAATTTAAAATTTCACATTTAAAATTCATAAATTCAAAATTCTTTATTCGAATGATATAAAAAATTTTAAATTATAATATTAAAATTCTTTATTTGGATCTAAAGAAAAATTTTAAATTTTAAATTATATATTTGAATTTAAAAGAAATTTGGACGACTGGTCAAAATTGCCGATCCAAATGGCCAACTTTTACTAGGATCAAACAATTAAAGCCGACTAGGACTGTAGCACTAGCCATGACCAAGACAGGACGCCCGACTTTCATGGGGATTGAAGCGACACGATGACGAGTATTGAATGGTTGACTTCCATCGAGACCAGGCCAACAGTAATGACGGGAATCAGATGGTTGACTTCAATCAGGAGCAGATCGATAGTAATGACGATGACCGAATGACCAACTTCCATAGGGACTAGACTGATGGCAACCACCAAGATTGGATGAGCAACTTCAACTAAGATCGGACCAATGGCAAAAACACGAGATAGGATGGCCAACTTCCACAAGGATAGGATGGGAACTTTCATTAAGATCGGACTTGGTGGAAGTCGGCCTTTCGATCTCGGTAGTAGATTTCTGTTAGGTTCTAGTGGAAAGCAATTGTTTAGTCACTATCATCACTGTCAGTCCAATCGTGGAGGAAGTCGGCCGTCCTATCAAAACTATTGTCATCAATTTGATCCTTGTTATCATTATCAGTTTAGTCTAGTCTTGGTAGAAGTCAATTATCTCGTCCTGGTCGTTGTTGTCAGTTTCAGTCTTGGTGAAAGTCGGCTGTCTCGTCCCAATCATTGCCATTAGTTTAGTCTTGATAGAGTCGATTGTCCTGTCCTAATCGTCACCATCACCGTCAATTCGATCAAGTCCCAGTGGAAGTCGGTTATCCTGTCTCGATCGTCATCGTCAATCTAATCAGGTCTCAATAAAAGTCGGTCATCCCATTTCGATAATCACTGCCTGTCTGGTCTCAATAGAAGTCAGTTGTCTCGTCTCGATTATTGCCATCAGTCCGGTATCAGTGGAAGTCGGCCTTCCGATCTTGGTCAACAGTGGCTTGTTTTTGTCAACTTTAAGGGTCCAATCTAATTACTGTTGACGGGCCAATCAAGCCTTCGTTGATTTGGTTCAAATTATAAAAGAGATTGGATTAGAATTTGAAATAATAGGAGTTTGTAAAGAATTTCAAATTATAAAGAGATTAAGATGGAACTTAGATTTGGATTTGAGCCAAATTCATTATTTGGAGATTTGACCTAAATTCAAATCTATATATATTCATACATAACATTAAATTATTGTAAAAAATTTTTCACAAGAAGCTAAAGGGGGTGGAGTATGTGTTAGTATAATTGTATTATACGTTTGCCTATAAGGAATTTTTTTATTATTATTTAAAGTTTGCAAAAAACAGGGTTGACAAAAATTGTTTAGTGAATAGATAACTTTTTTGTGTTTCAAAGATTTATGTCAAAATAATTTTTTGGAGAGTTAACTTGTAAAGCTTATAAATGACACATTGTTATGAATAAAATATAGAAAGAATGAAAACAAGAAGACAAGGAGGAGGACAATAAAGAATAGAGGCAATAAAAATAAGTATAATCTCTTTTGTATTTTTTTTTTCATTCTTTACAATATAAATAGCATGCCCTGTTTATAGGCATGATTAGGGTTACACAAGTGATGATGAAAAATAAAGAATAATTAACATTCATTAATGGTAAAAGTTTCATGGGAGAAGATGAAATAGTGAGGAAGATGGACATTCACGTGAGTTTTAATATTCATAACACTTTTCATTAAATGTCCATTACATAAAAATGTATCTCATTAAAAACTTCAACTAAAAAAAATCTTGTGAGACAGAAACTTGGTAGAGGAAAAGAGTATATCATTTATTTGTAGTATATTATCTAATACTGTCTAATTAAAAATCTTATTAGAAAAATCCAATGGAACAAAACTTTGGTTAAAGAAAAAAGAGTACCATATGTATTTACTCTCTCTCATGACAATATCACTTTTAAATAAAAGTGATAATGAAAAATAAAAAGTAATAAACACTCATCAAATGGTGGGGGTTTCATGGGAGAAAATGAAAATGTGAGAGAGATAAACATCTATATGACTCTTAATATTCATAACACAAATGTTTTATTGAATACCTTTTTAAAAGTATTTGTGAAAGCTAGAGATTCTCCATAGAAATCAAATAATGTTATTTCTTATTTTTTTCACACCAAGAAAATTTATTTATTAAAAGAAGAAAAAACTTATGTACTTAACCTTATATATTTAAGGTGTTTATTTTCAATTAAATCAATATATATGAATCATTTATATATTATTTATTTTATAACAAACTCTTATTATTAATATTATTAATACATTAATATCAACTTATTTTGATTTAATTGGAGAAAAGTACATTAAGCATATAATGTTAAATACATAGGTCTTGTCCTAAAAAAATGTAGAGAGAGTAATTGTTAAGCTTTACTTTTAAAATTCAAAAAAGATTTTATTTACAATTTTTATGTCGTTTTTCCAATAAAAAATGAAAAGTTTTGAATATGTACAAAATCTTGAGATATATTTTCGCACTGTAACACGTCTCCTTGCGAGGTAGAACTTGAATCCCATAAATTCAACACTCACTTTGAAGGTGTTAGAGTGAATTGAAAATAATGTGATATAAAATTTTAAAAAATATGATGGGGAAAAAAAAACCCTCCTTTGTAATTATCATCGGAAGATTACTGTTGTTCTACAGTATTAGTATTAAAAAGCAGGTTATATATAAAAAAACTATGTGGGCCCAGTTTATATATAAACGTTTTAATTAAGAAGGCAACGGTATTAATATTAAAAAAACAGGTTATAAAAAATTTGTGTGGGCCGTATTATATTAAAATCTCACTCTATTGTATTACGGTTGGCATCTGACTTATCTTTTTAATATTTTTTTATCTATAATTTTCTTTATTATTATATAATAAATAAAAATAAAAGATTATAAAGGCTTTATAATAAAGTGGCATAGGACCCACGGTAAAAAATGAGTGGCGAATATAAATCAATACTCAAAAAATATTTTCTTTTAATTATGATATAAGATAATTTAATTTGTAATGTAGGGTATTGAGTAATTTTTATAATTGTATATATAGATAAGTATAGTTTAAAATTTGTTAGTAATTTTATTTACTTATCTCTTTTATATTTTATCTATATTAAAAATTTTAATCTTCTGCTTATTTTTAGAAATTGATCTCATTAAAATTTTCTTTCCTCATTATTCAATTCTATTGCAACTGAAAATTAATATCCCATGTATTATATAGGTATAAAATCTAGTTATATGTAATAACACGTTTGGATCCTTGTATTATTATAATGTAATAATAGAGAAAACTTATTGTAATAGAACTCTTTTTTTTTTACCTATAAATAGAGGTGCTTGAAATTTATTAAAAAGCCATATTTCATCATTACATACATATATTATCTTATATATAAATAGGATCTTGTTGATTTATGGTACGATTTTTTAATTAAATCAATTTATATATACCAAACAATTCATAATTGGGGTGTTCTAAATAGGTAAAATTTTGCAAGTTCAATATTTATTTATCGATCATTTTTAATATTAATGTTGCCACAAATTTTTAAAATTTAATATCACTAAAGCTAAGAAATTGTAGTGAATGGTGTTTTAAATCAAATGTGCACGATCATATAAGTTTCTTAAATGAACTAATGAGTATGAGTATTATAATAATTTTCAGTTCGAAATAGTGGTCAATGATCAATATGTATATAAAGATCTTGTTAAAGGCAAATAATTTTTTGTTTGACCAGGTTTTAACTTTTAATACTATACCATTTATACCATGTAAGATTTGAAGTTAAAAAAAAAAAAGATGGTGCAATGTCTTTGAAATTAAATTTTAATATCAAACGTAAAAAATTATTCACATGATTTTAACTAAAGGTTAGTCTCTCACGCATTATATGGAAGAATCAGTCGGATTGCTTGTTTTGGCCAGGAAAAAAAGGGTGGCATGGATTGTGTGATATGAATCAATAATAAATGAATAAATATGAGTAAATATTTTTTTTTGAAATTACAAAACAAGTCAAAAGACTGAGAAATAAAAAACTAAGCGTTCTTATCAGCTAAATATGGCACAAAGCAAGCCAACGGTGGTGTGCTTAGCAGAACGAAGTCGGCAGCGTTGTTATGAGCTTCCCTGGCCAGAAGTTCAGCCAATATAAGTAAATAATTGATTATTGAGTTTAATTAAATGATAAATAATTTATGGGCAGAGTCTAATATAATGGTATAATTTAATCTAATGCAAAAATTTAAAACATTAATCAATCAATCAAATCAATAATAAATCAAGGTTAATAAACACAAGTGGTATATATGTCAGCGTAAGAATACTGTCATCGGTATTCGGTAAACTCGACAGCCGAAACCTCTTGTGAGTTTTATCCTCGCTTGCCATGGAAGCTGTCGTTGAGCTCTGAAACAAGGTAACGAAGAAATTTGCCTTTTCCGTTGTGATTGTCACATGCTCTGAAAATTATCCCATAGCTTCCTTCTTTCATCACTGATCATTTATCCGGCAGCGGTGGCGGCTGGGGCTCCTAGATGTCTATTATCGAGACCCCGACCGTCGAATGCGTTCATCAGCGCGGCGGAGGTAGCGCCGATCACCATCGTGCTTCCACTAAACGTAAATTTGATGATTTCGCAACTGCCTTCAACGATGACGGTGAAAATTTTGTCGATTTTTGTGATTTATGTGACTTGGTGTCGGTGAGAATGAGGAAAGACGAACCGAAAGCCGTAAATTCTTGCAATTCTGAAACTTTTAACGGGTCTGTCCCAGATGTTGTTGATACTAGGATATCGGGCACTGCCCCGTATGCTTGTTCATCGCGGTCCGAGTCCACTCGGCCGTGGTCGAAACTGCAGTTTTTCATTCGATCGATGTCAGAAGGAAAAACTATGGTACTGGATGCTTGTCCACAAGATACTGTAAGATCGATTCATGAACGTATCCAAGCAATTACGGGCATTCCGCTGTTTGAGCAGAGATTGATATATATGGGTAAACAGCTCCAGTGGGAACAGACTCTGGTCGAGTGTGCAATTGAGAGAGATTGTCATCTTCAATTGGTTGGGCGCATGCGCAGCACAGAACATCCTCAAGCTTGGCAGGTAATCAACGATATGGTTTCTCTAATTTGGCGTCTCTGCAGGGGTGAAGTGGAGCATGATGCCTCGAAAATTATCAAAGGCCTTATAACTGACTATTTAAAAATGACTCCTAGAATTGATAATGATTCAGCTTCTGGTTATTTCCAGATATTTTTGTCTTCATCTGCCCCAGTTGTGCTTGTTATGCTCTATATGTCACCCTATGTAGGTAACAAAGAATGTGCTGATTGTTCAATTAGGCATTTTATGAGTTCCTGTCGCAGCACCTTGTCTAAGTCATTGCATACTAAGTGCGCGAGTGTAGTGTTGGAGTTTTGCAAATTACTCAGAAGGGCGGGTCCTGAGGATCCTTTGTATCTCTCTTGTCGGAGCACCTTTGGGTCTTTATTGGAGACTGCTAATATTTCCCATGTTTCAGTGAGCGACAAGGAATTAATTATAATTAAAGATATTCTCCCTTTTGTTCGAGAAATTGCAAAGAGATTGCTGAGGGCTTTGGATATGAGTATGGAATCCCCCACTAGTGTAGGGCCATTGTTGAGTGATGTTCGGGATTTTACTGCATTCTTACTCCCTCTAAGGACTAGAATCAGCAAGCAACAAGCTTTCAAGAGTCTATATTCTTCCAAGTCTGATGAAAAACTAAATAAGCTCCTGTTACTTGTGGAAGAGGATGATATTCATCTTATATTTAGTGAATTATTGCAAAAAATGGATCAGTGCCTTAAAAAAATGCAGGAATTTGTGGCTGCCAAGGAACGAGAGGAGGGAGATAATCTTCCGGCATGGTCTCAGTATCTTTCCATCTTGAAGGAATTGTATCACCTTTCTCAGCTCTATGAAGGAGCTGAAGAAGAATTTTGGTCAGTTTTGAGACATCAAAGAAGTATGCTGGTTCTACTTATCACCCAGTATGCAAAGCGAACTGATGATCATCAGTGGATTCTGGAGCACAAGCATGTAACGAATTTTGAATCTAGGAGGCATTTAGTGATGCTGATGTTCCCCGATGTAAAAGAAGACTATGAAGAATTGCATGAGATGCTCATTGACCGGTCTCAGCTGTTGGCAGAATCATTTGAATACATAGCACGGGCAGAGCCTGAATCTCTACATGCTGGTCTGTTTATGGAATTCAAAAATGAGGAAGCCACAGGTCCAGGTGTACTGCGAGAGTGGTTTTTCTTGGTATGCCAAGCTTTATTTAATCCACAAAATGCTCTTTTTGTGGCGTGCCCAAATGACCAGAGGAGATTTCTTCCAAATCCTGGTATGTTCCATCTAGAATATCAGCTCAAATGCATTTTTCTCCAGAGTAATTTTCTTTCCCATCTCTGCTATTTACCCTGCAGTGAGAGTTTTTAGTTTCAAATGTTATGTACTTGATTAGGGTTTGTGTTGTATAAATCTATGGAAACTTTTAATTTGGTGATTTCCAGCGGTGTTGAATTATAAAATAATCCCTTTTAAGTATTCTTAAACCTAGAAATAAATTGATGAATGCAAGAAAGCACCATATCCTGAAAATTTAAATCTTGCAATAAACCTATTAGCTACGTTAAAGTTTGATAGTATAAATAATCCATCCACAAACAATGTCACATATTGCAAAGAAAATCATACAAACATAATCCATAATTCCAAAATTATGATATAAAATCTATATAAATGTAATATCCGACAAGTCAGAAATGAAAGTAGCCATTTTGCATCAATCAGTGCTCATGAGCCTTCTACTTTCAGTCACACCTGAAAATCTGAACTATATATAAAGAATCAATTATCAATTATATGAATACAAAGAAATGTCTACTAATAAATGTAAAAATGAATAGTATGAAATTGAGAACATTATCTTATTGAATGACATCATCAATCTCCTCAAAGTTGTTAAATTCATGAAGATTAGAGATGAATTCTGGCTAGATTCTTCAGTACCTTAATTTCTCCAAGTTAGGCTTGCCAACAGTCTCTCAAAATTGTTATTCTTGAACATTCAGCTCTCTCATGCTTACACTAAAGCACTTTATTAACGTGTATACTATAATGGATTAGCGGCAGAACAACGTATTTATGTGTAACACACCTTATTTACATTTATAATGTGTGTGTGTGTGTGTGTGTGTTTTTTCCCCCCCTTGTCTTCTTTTATTGCTTTTTCTTGCTCCTCTTACTTGATGTTTTCCTTGCTTAAATCCCCTATGTGGCAAAGAAACTCAATTAATACAGTAATCATGTGCTAAAACTCACCACAAATTAAATTATTGCTCCCCATTAACCAATTTGATAATTTTTCTCTTTTTAATTTACTTCATCTATTCAAATAAATTTGATGAATTCCTAATTACTATGAAAAAATTATGTTAGTTAATATCAAATATAGGGATTCAGCATGGGATAAGGATCTCGATGGGCAGAATGGGAGGGATTGATTGAAGAATTTGGTTTAATATAGGGATGTCACTAAACAATGATGTATTAGAAGAAATTAAAAAACTATAATGAGCCCTTGAGGCTGTAGAGTACATTGGTGTAGAGTGATCCATATAGCTTCGAGCCAAGTTAGGCTTCTTAATCCTAACTGCTAACTTAAAGCTTGGTTTGACTTGAGGGGCCAACCTTCCCCCCCCCCCCAACTTGTGTTGTGCTTGTCTTGGTTATTGATATAGCACAATAGTGTCGTGTAATCCTTGTAGCTAACTCCACTTACTAGGATAAGGCTTGTTGTTATTATGTGTTGTGCTTTTCTTCTCTTTTCTTGACCAAACCTAGCTTGAATTGATCAGGTCAATTTAGGCTTGCCATGTCTTTAGGTTCTATGCACTGTCCTAGTTAGTGGCTAATATTTAGTTTCTGTGCACATAGTTTTTGTGAATTCCTACAACTTTTTGTTCTGATCTTTACATTTTCAAACTATTCTTTGAATTCTTTGTTCTTCTTGATGTAACCTCTTTTGTCATTCAAGATTTAGCTTGAGTCCTTGTGAACAATTTAGGGCTGATATGGAAATTGCCTAACCGTAGTGTGATGACATCTTCGATTACCATCAATCTTGTATGTTGATAACTCGATGACAAAAACTGTGAGAGCCCAATGCATTGGAGAAAGTTATCTTGACAAAGCTTGATACGACCAATATGCCCTTGAAACTTTGATGATGATGATGATGAAGAATGTAGAATTTAGATTTGGTCCACTAAGCTACTGTTACATGGAGATTAGTGATTAGTCAGGAAAGGCTTAAGAGAGTTACTTAGTTAGTTAGTTAGGAGGCTCTTATTAGTGTAAATAGGAGCATATATTGATGTGATGAGAGTCTTATGGCTCAACAACACACTTTTCTACACTCACTACAGTATCAAATCTGTTTCTTCAGCCAACCAGCACCGTTATTGGAAACATGATCCATGATGGTGAGGTTGAAGCAAGAAACAATTGCAGAAGATTACTGAAATAAGTTTGAAGCAATTCTATGGGAAACTGATATACCAGAATCCATGACCATTAATTGCTTGGTAAAAGGACTTTGATTAGATATTCAAGGAAGTGGAGGGAAGAAATTCAACCTTGAAGGTTAAGCAGGAATGGAGGGCTAAGAGTGCTTAGAATGTTAGTGGGGTGAAGTGGGGAGGTATGTGGGATTTTTGGAGGCACCAAAGGGCAATTTTAGTCAGTTGACTGGCGAGAGAATTTAGAGCAAAGATGGAGACGGGTCAAATAATTTAAGCAACGAAATGGGGATTCCTATTACATCTACAAACAATAGCTGTAGTACAGCCAGGGACTTTTTGATGTTGAGCTTAATAGGAGATGAGAATTGGGGCTATGTTTCAAGTCTGAAGCAATTATGGGACCCAATCACAAGTGCAATGGGAAGCAATTTTAGATGTTGCTAGTTACAGTAGAGGATGAAGAAGAAATGATTTAGACTGAGCTGCAGAGTTGGTGGAAGATATATTTGAAAAGGTGATCGCAACCATGAAGTTAAAACTCACTTCAATCGTGGGATTCATTGGCTGCAATACCATGAAGTTAGTTTGAGAGTTAGGAGGAAAGCATGTGGCAGTTCTCATTGATAGTGTAGCCACTCATAATTCCATATTACCATACAGAGTGAAGTAGTTGGTAACTGAAGTGCATGAGTCACGCTATTATTTAGTGATGGCTGGGGATGTTAGAAAAAGTTATTCCAAAGACGAGTGTAAGGAAGTTGAGTTAGAGTTATAGGGCCACAAGGTCAATTTTTTTTTTAAATTTTATTCTTATTTTTTCCTCCTTCAGTCTTGAGAATGTGGACTTGGTTCTAGGCATAGCTTGGCCTGAGTTCCTTGGTGATATGAGAGTGAATTTGGGACAACTGTACGTGAAAGTGAAGGTGGACAGAAAATGGATCTGTTTAAAAGGAGACCCAATTCTCAGTCAAACCCAAGTTTCATTTAAAGCCATCAAGAAGACCTGAAGAAGGACAAGGATAGGGGTATTTGCTGTAGTTTAGAGCTATTTCACTGGAGGTGAAAGAAACAAAAGCATATGTGTCATTAGAAATTTGGTGTTTATTGAAGCAATTTTAAGAGGCCTGTGAGCCAATTAAGGGACTACATCCCCCCATTGTTTGATGGATTGTTCCCCAGCGATGATGGAGCAGAAATACCTAGTACAAGACCCTATTCCTGTGCCCATTCTCAAAAAACTGAACTAGAGAAATTAGTGAAGGTAATGCTTAATACTGGGATTTTTTGGCCAAGTAACAACCTCTACTCTAGTCTTGTATTGCTATTGAAGAAAAAAGAATCAAGTTGGATATTCCATGTGGATTTTGGAACCTTAAACAAGGTCAGAATCACTAATAAATATCCCATACCAGCAATAGACGAACTCTTGGGTGGGTTTGGAAGTCCTTCATTGTTTACAAAGCTGCATCTGAAGCTAGCTACCCCCAAACTAGGATTAGACTTGGTGATGAGCCCAAAACTGGTTTTAGAACCAATAACGGGCATTATGAAATTCTTGTAATCACCTTTGGGCTCAGTAATGGCCTGTCAGTATTCCAATCTTTGATGAACGACATATTCCTAAATTATTTGAGGAAGTTATCTTTTATTAGTTTTCTTTGATGACGTTCTAATATATAGCTTTAATATGAAGCCGCATTTGGAGCATTTGACGGTTGCTTTAGAGGTAGAAGTGTCATTTAATTAATTCAAAGAAGATTGCATTTGGGCAAGTGCTTGAATATTTGAGTCACATTATTTCCTCAAGAAGGGTATACGATGATCCATCAATAATTGACGCTGTGGTGAATCGGACAGTTTTCAATAGATGCAGTAAGCACTTTGGGCACAGCTTCCATTTGTAGGCTCGTGGCCCTGATTCTTGTTGCCATCACTGTGTCGTGAGGGAAGAATGGTGGCTAATGTGCTGTCACTTTAGTGGGTTGGATAGCCAACTGTTGTAACCTTGCTAGAACATCTAATGATGGAATATCTGGACTAGAGAGAATTTGAGTATGAACAAGAGCAAGGTCTGCTTTAAGGGATGCAAGGGTAAGAACCATGAAGAATCTCTTTCTGGGTCAATCTTTCCCACAAAAGTGTTCATATGGTTGGTGTTTCACTGCTTAAAGTGAACATCTTAGTAACCAAATCATGTAAACACTGAACATCATTGCTATACATTGACTTGGATTTTTACCAAAAAGAGCAACAGGTCCTTTAATTGTGATGGATGTGCCACAACTTTTAGTCATTTGATTGCTATAATAGGGTTCATAACTAATTATCAATTTTCTTCTTAGTTGACTGGTCATTTCTATGACATTCTCCACTGTTGTCACCTAGTGCTTCTTATAGCTTTATTCAAGGAATCAGAGCGCCACAAAAGTTTGCCATGTTCTGTAATTAGGACCATCTAATTCTTCTGGAGCAATAATGGGAGTGTCTGAAATGAGATGAGAAAAATGCTCATTTTGGGGGCTAAGCTCACTTTGGTGATCGAAAATTCTGCTCCTCTGTTTTTTCCCCATTTTTTTTGTGTGTCCAAGATGGAAGAAACTTTTAACACAAAAATGCTGTTGTTAGTGAGTTTCCATTGCCATCTTATGCCCACCCAAGGTTGCTTATTCGCAAATTTGTGTGGCATGCAGCATGACATATGAGTATGAGTGTGGAGGACTCCATAATTCCCAATATGAGGGGTATAGGATGTGAAATTGTGTATAATTAGAAGAAAATAAAAGGTATGTTACTTTCGTAAAAAATGGAGTGAGGAGAGGTGCTTTTTATTTGTTTATCTTGTGCCAATATAGCTATTATGATT